CTCGAGGACGAGCATTTAGTAAGCCGTTTCTCAGAATGGAGATGAATACTTCGAAAGGCGCTTCAGAATGCCGTCTAGGAAATCCAACCGCAGTCTGTTCATGTTAGTTTTGTTTCACTGGATTTTACACTACCTATTCACATTTCTAACAGGGTCGTCCTAATTCAGAACCTCCCCCCATTAGGTCCGTCGAGGTTCATAACAGGTGATGTCACCTCGTCATTATTTTCGACGATAGCAACAACCGTTATCAAGGGCGTGGACCTCAGAGTGGGCTCCTGTAGTTCGCTGCGCCAAGGATACCTGAACGGAGGAAAAGGTAACCAAACAAAAGGATTGACTCAGACTCGGGTCGACTGAGCCGCATCAACTATTATTAGGCGTACTGTGACTACAATCGGCTTATTCGTCTTAGTGCAATCGCCTCCACGGCCAACGGCGGCCTACAACCCTCCCACACGAGCAAGATCTTTACCTCCGAAACACTCAAATCTGTCGAATACGCTTTGACAGTTAATTGAATGCTAATGCATAATGTACCGAGCAATAAGAACTTAGTCGACCGTACTAGAGACGATGACACAGTGACGCAGGATCGGCAATGAATGTCTCCGGCGCGAATCAATTCGGAAATTGATGGTCTACGACTGAAGACAAACATGTACGGTCTCTTGTATATACAGACATTTCGATTCTAACCAAATTTTATGTAGAAACACCCGGTCAACATGACTGAACCCTGCAACCCACAGATGTTGATTATCGAAACTTGGGCTCTATTGCAACATCTCGCCCACGCTTGATAACTTATCTTCGGGCGGGCTGGTTTGCTTGGCCCGGGTTTCGATCAGTGATGCCCTTTACGATCACCACGCGTTGGTGCCTGGTTTTTTCGACCCCATTCCCCCGGATATAGACGGTCGCTGTGTACTTCCTCACCTGTGCACGGTCGTCCGTGTCTATTTCCATCGGTCATCAAATGCAGGACCAAATTGATTTCTTCACCGTTCTCACCTTACCTAACAACGTAAACGCCCCGATCTAGAGTTGTAGATCGTGATCGATCCTTAAATGCCATGCATCGATGCTGATTCAACAGACCGGAGGGTCCATGGACGGCGGAGTATCTCGCCCTTAACTTGACCCTGAGCTTCTATCCCTTTTGTTTACTTCTTTGCATCCATGTCCCCTCCACCTTCGCCTCTCGCTTCGCCTACATTTCAGATCATGGAGTCGGTCGTCGAACTCAAACCAGACGGAGATCTCTCGCGTATACGTTCTCATCGAGGGAACGCCCCTACATTACCCCAGACGAAATACTGCCCTCTTTGTCCCGCCAAGTTCACAAGAACGACGCACTTGCACAGACACTTCCGTTCGCGTAAGTCTTCGCAGTACTAGGATGCTCCGAGCTTCACTGAGGTCTCTCCTGAACAGATACCAACGAACGTGCGCATCGATGCGAGGTCAGCATTCTGCGGAGCATAGGCGCTCATATACTGACTCGAAGTGCAGATGTGCGGTGCAGAGTTCACGAGAAGCGATCTTCTGACTCGACACAAGAGGACGTGCGGTGACCCGTGAGTGATCATCTGCCGAAGGCCAGAAGCCAGACTAACGGCGATTTCATAGGACCATTTCCCATCGGTCTCGACGAAAGTCTTGCCAGGTTTGTTCCAAAGTATCCTGATACGTTACTCCTTGTCTCAATATCTGTTTAGGCCTGTGCAGACTCAAAAATCAAGTGCAATCTCGAGAATCCATGCTCAAAGTGTGTTTCTCGCGGCAAGAAATGCGTCTACGTAAACGATCCAGCAGTCTCGCGCGACAAGAAGAATAACGCCAAGAGACGTCGGCCTAAGAGATCCGCTTCAAACGACGCCCGCTGAAGGCTCTCCAGAACTGTCTTCATCGCCTACATTTTCATCTGACTCACTCCCATCTCCTCGCGACAGGGAGATATCACCTATGCTTAATTCTACCCGGTCACTAACGGCCGACTCACCCCCGCTTCACCCCACCTCGTTCAATTCTTCATCTTTATCTGATATCTTTGACGCTGTGATCAAAGATGCAGTCGATATTACTGATGGTAGCGGTGAACTGCATGATCCTATGGAGAAACTATTCTCCAACGGCGTACTTGACTACTTTCTCGATAAACACCCCTTCTCTACTTCGGCGATGACACAACCATTACCTGAATTTCCATGGCTTGAGCATAACGGTGCATCCGGATTGAATGGCGACTGTTTTTCCTTCATGCCGTCCTCCCTCAGCCCCGTTTCTATCCCTACGCCATCGGATTACGGATCACCATTATCCTTTATCTCTAATCCTTCGCCGAGTCCTTATTCAGCATCTCCGGGGAGTTCAGAATCTATTGGCAGTGCTCAGCCGCTCGATACAGAAAATCAGCAATACCGTGGGTGTCTGCATGCCCGCATACCGTAATAGCTTTGATGGCTGACATACCCCTCAGTCTATCTATTCTTTTCGGCGTTTTGTACACAAATCCCTGTGGTACACCAGGGTGCGTGGGCGATAGAGGACAAACCGCCCGTCCTCATCCGCGCAATGCAAGCTTGCGGAGCGCTCTTCCTGAAAACGCGCAGGGCCGTCAATTTTATTACCGAAACTTTATCATCAACGCGGGATGCCCTCATCCATGAATTTGTAAGTCCCTTCGCCTTGGCAAAAACATATCTTTGATGCTAATGTATTTGTGCGGCCAGACGAAAGCGACATGTAGCCCAAAGGAGCAGGATTTCCTGATACTCGCCGTTGTCTTACTCCAAACGATCGGTCTATTCCACCAGCGCCCTGAATTTCGAGTTTCATCGAATGTCTACCATGGCATGTTAGTTATGGTATGTCGACCGTCCATTATTGCTGGTCAAATCCCGTCTCTGACCGAAGTCTGTAGATGATTCGCCGTACAGAATCCATCTCCCGCTCACGCTCTTGGGCGGTTCCTGATTTGAATGATCCCCTTACTTTGGAACAAACTTGGCGGGAATGGGCACTTCACGAGACGGTTAAACGGTAAATTCAAATCTTCTCCACATGGCCTGCTAGTACTGACGGGCGTGACATATGTAGCGCGCTATTACTCTCGTATCTCCACGATTGTTGTCATTCTGTCTTTTTCTCGATGCGCCCATCGTTTCAGACCGCTGAATTTGACATGAATTTGCCTTGCGACGATGCCCTATGGAAAGCGCAGTCTGCCGCTGAATGGATGGATCTTCTCCAGAAACCATCACCGTACGGAATGGGATCGGCCAGACTGTATGGTGTAGGGATGCAGCAAGCTCTAACTAGCCTCGGCGAAATACGGTTTCCGACATCACCCAGTCCCTTGAATCCATTCTCACAGTTCATTCTAATCCATACAATTCTCCGCAACATCTACTTCTCTTACTCGACGCCCGACTCTTCTAATGATACCGCGTCTTCTTCATCTACTTCTTCTTCCCCCGAGCCCTCCGGTAGAGAAGACCGCCGAGGGAGCCAGTTTGCAAACCAATACGCGTTGACAAACTGGCTTCGTATGTGGATGTCGTGTCCAGATGCGATGAAGCCGGAAGACGAGAAGGAGGGTGATGATGAGCCACCGTTTGCACAGAATGCTCTTCCGTTCTATTGGCTGGCGCAAATTTCATTACTGGCTATCCAAGATGGTGGGCCTTCTTGGACAGAAGGGGCCGCCGAGAGTAGATTTCATGTTATGAAGGAGTGGTTGGATCGTATTCGCTTCTTTCTGCGGAAGCATAAAGAAATTTCTCCTCATCTCTGGGACGAGTTGATGGTGATTCGCCATCAGGTCTCGCAGGTTGAAGCGGTGACTTTGGAAGACCATCCTAATGGTCTACTTTCTTTCTTTCCTGATCACTAATTAATTCTCTATTGTGTTATTCATATGCATCTAGACGCCTGGATTACTGTCAAACTCCATTATCTGTATTACTATCAGATGTACTATTATCAAAGTCCCGTAGAGTCATGTATGATTTACTTTTCCTTAGGCGCAGTCCTGTACAACGATAACATTCTATAGATATCCACTGCTTTTCCGGACGAGAGTCCACTTATCCCCGGTCCGATCAGGACTCACGTATGCAACACCGGAGAAATGCAGCTTCCTGCAAATTTTAAAGCGGCATGCTGCGAACGTGGTACAGATAACACTCAGGACTCGGGGACCTGATAGCGTACCTAAAACCTAATTGCCGAATCATTGTCGCCCCCTGAGATATCTCGGCAGGAGCGGGAGCGGTGTAGAACCTATTCATTGTTGGGGGGGAAAGGTAATCTGTGTTGACCAATGGCAGGATAGACGCATTGCTACAGGTTGACAGGATCAATCGCCGAACTCGCGAATGAATAGCAGAGCGGGCTTAGGATCTGCTTGTGGGCTACCGCGTCATGGATGATTACACTCGTTTAGTACTCGTGACTGTGTAGGGCATAAAGTGATGCGAAATGACGGCGGTTCCCTGGATAAAAAACATACGTCCCGCTCTATGCGTAAGCGTTAAAACGTAGCACCGGCGGTGCGCATAGTTACAGCCATAATCCTGTGTGCGGTACACACCGCAATACTTGGCGAATTCAGTTTTCGAGTAGAGCATAGAGAAGATGGAGCCGCAGTCCGATCCACCGTTTCTCGTGTGAACACAACACTCAGCGCAGGAGTATCAATTGGCATGAACATTTGGCAACAATACGAGAGACCTCTACGGACCTGGAACTGATGACACTGAGGAGCTTAAATCAGAGTATCACTCATGCACGATAGAATACATACAGAGCAGAAGTGTAAAGAACTGAGATATTGCTAGCCTCTTACATCTGAAGGGATAGGTGTAAAGACACCTTAAAAAATTTCTACACGGCTCTCTGGACCCGACGGCGAGGGGCCAAATCCCGAACGGAGAAGAATAAGTATCAAGGATAGCTCAATGATCCAAAAGACAGTGCTGAAAGCACTACAACATTGACAACAGTGGGACTCGAACCCACGCCCTTGCGGACTAGAAGATAGGATGTTGACCTGGATCTAGCGCCTTAACCACTCGGCCATATTGCCATAATGTGCAGTCAATGTGGTGCCGTGGTGTTGCGCAGATGATGATGATGAAATCCCGTTTATAGTATTCACGCCCTTTAGGGCGTATGTATACATCTAGTGACTATCTACACTGCGATGAGACTGTACGGTAATGTTGTAAACTATATCTAATATAATGTCTGCTGTATCTGTGGTGAGGCTGGTCGTGTAAAGCGAGGGTTCGTGCTAGGGAGTGTGTTGCTGTGGTGTGGTTTTGCTTGGGCGAGAGGAGTTGGTGGTCACTGTTGTGACCCGTAAGCGTTTGGCCTGAAAGGTGTCGTTGTTGTGGAAATGGGGAGACACATTGTATCGGGTTTGTAGTGAGGGGATCGCATATATTTCAATAGTACTTGAGGGGCGGTGTTAGTACCTTCTCTGTAATCTTGGAGGGAAAAGTAGACTGTCCTCCATGGAGGAGGTGGGAGGAGGGTGTCTGCGAAACACGCTCCTCCCCCTCGCATGCCCGAGGCACATAGAGATAGGTCTCAAAAATTGATTGTCACGGTTTCATGCCGGAGTCAGGCATGAAAACATGTCGTACAACGAGTAGCATTTTGAGGGTACCGGGAGACGAGGCTGGATCGATTTCTAGGAGCTCTTATTCGCCCAACAGGATATCCAGGCGGCCCATTGAAATTTTACCTTAGACCGCTCAGCCATTCTGCCCTGTGGTTTGTGGATGTGTAAACATGTTGAGGTACCTATGGTTTATTGTCAATCTTTTCAAAGCACTGGCTTCACAACCTTTCCTCCCTCATCGCCACGTATTTCGTTTCTCGCTTAATCGTTTCTGCGACGCCTGCTTGACAGAAACACTCGGAAAACCGTACGGATCTTCCACTTGGGTGGCAGGTGGAGCGCTCGGCGGGTGACATCACTTGCACAAAATCTATCTGATTATTGCTTTCGACTTGTCGCTCTCAGCCACCAACGACGATATCTGTACTCAAGGAGGCTGCCACTGCGGCGTTGTTTGATCTTCGTTCATATCTCTCATACGTTCCGTATCAGGTCGTCATTCGATGGGAAAGTACTGTGCTGATGCTATAGGTCTAGGTCTGCTGCTACTGCTCTATCTGCCGCAAAGCCGCTGGTGCCGGGGGCGGAACTATTACTCTGGGAGGACATTCGGATACGCGGATAATTCATCAGGGAGTATTTTGGTTCGGGGCGGGGTTGTCGTCGTGGTGATGGGAGCTTATAACACACTGTTTACAAGCCGTTTTGGACCGAGATATGCCCGAGGAAGGGATCGTGTCTTCGGAGAGGAGTTTTTGAAATACTATGGGTCTATGATAAGATCTAGACTTCGTGTGGTGGTATCTTGGGTTTTCATGCAGCAGCAGCAGACGATTTTTGCAGCCTTGAGTTCCGTTTGCGGGGGCGACTGATGCGCCTTTGCAGGCCCGGAGAGTATGGCATGTTTCATTCGACTTCTTATTTTTTCCGCTCAGGACGTTGGATCTTTCTTTCAGGTGTGCAACAAGTGTGCACTAAAGTCGACTCCAAGCCAGGTTGGGCCCGCCTCTCGGAGGGAGAGAAGGAGATGTATGATGACTATAGGCCGCTTTCTTTGGAGCACTGGCACAAGACGGACAATCTGTATTGAAATTTGGGAGTTCCTATTCTTGTACCTGGATCGCAGCTAGGTTCAATGGAATCGCTACGGTTTTGGTTCTCGTTCATGTTTTTTTCTATGATTTAGGTTTGGCTCTGAGAATACCACAAGTCCGCAGCCCGTAGTGCGCTTAAGACATAGGATATTTCGCGTTTCACGAGCGCGCCCGCTCCTATCGTCTGTGCAGCGTCGCTGATTTCTATGAGCCGAAACGCTGCACCGCAAAAGATAAGCAATATTGTAATCCTACTATGTGCTTAGCTCCCGCGATAGGGTTCTAGTTTGAGAATGGTATTGATGAAATTGTGTATCAACATCGGTACGGCGATAAATTTTAGTTGATGGAGCTCTCCTCCCTCTTAGCGATTGTTCTTACAGCACATGAAGCAATACAGTAAGTAGTACAAACAGATCTTTTAATCTGTTTCTTGTTCGCATTACCATGTGTGATTTTCTTCCTGCTAGTAGCATGATAAAATTCATAAGCGCTTGCCCAGGCGCGCCGAACCCATCCCTTTCACCTGTACGCCTGCCTATTTTCAGTCTGTGCTCTCAGTGAAAATAGCTGCGTACCACATCTTGCGTTCACTTACGCTTGACATTCTCCCGTGGTTGGAGCACAAGTACCTCGGCGACGCATAATAGTGGAATGCGTATCAATAAACCTGACAGCTGCGAAGTCTATTTCCATGGGTTTATTTCTGGAATGGGTATTCCTATTTTGAAGTTGCTATCGGGTCCGTCGGCCGTCGGTAACCGTCTTCAAAGGAAGGTCCAGGTTCTTAGACCATCTAAATACAAATAGAACTGATGAAGATAACCCGAACAAGTACATTTTGGATGATCGCCATGGATTGGCCATGGAGTTAGACGCGAAAGAGGACGTTGCCGATATTGAGGGACAACAATGTGGATTACGGCGGCAGGCTTGCTTTGGTGTTATTGCATCAAGCACTGGCAACCTTTCCCTCCAACACAACGTATTTCGTTCCTGGCTTTGTCATTTCCCTGCGACTCCTGTCGGATGGAAGCACTCGGAAGTGACCGTACGAATCTTCCACTTCCACTTGGGTTACAGGTCACTATGAGCGCACAGGTGACATTGCCAAGACATTACCGGCACAATATATATCTGATCATTGCTTTCGCTTTATCTCTCTCTTGCACCAAATGCGATGTCTCTATTGAAGCTACCATTTCGGCGCTATTAGGTTGTCGTTAAAGCGAAATGCTGCTCTAGCCTCTTCCGTATCAGGGGAGTCGGCGTTCAAAGAAGATACTGCGCTGATGGGAGAGGTCTAGCTCTGGTATTGCTCTATCTGCCGCAAAGTCGCTGGAGCCGGGGGTGGAGCTATTAATCCGGTTGGACATGCGGAGACGCTGGAGATGTATACTATGTTCGGGTCGGGGTTGTCGTCGTGGCGATGGAAGCTTACAATGCACTGTTTACAAAGCCGTTTTGGACCGAGATACTTACTCCCAAGGAGAGTATCGCATCGTCGGACAGATACTTTGCTCCTAGTGTTCGACAATGCGTTGTGTGCTGATAAGAGTTAGTGATTCTTCTTTCCCCGCAGAGTATGGTGTAGTTCACTCAACATCATATTTTTGTGGTTAGGACGCTGGTCACTTTCTTTCATGTCTACATCAAACTGAACTCCAAGCCGGATTAGGCCCGCCGCCCGGAGCGAGAGAAGGAGATACACGACAACTCTTCGTAGCACAGTGATAAAGATCAGCAGCGATACCCAGGCGCGCCGGGGACATCCGTTTCATATGTACGCCCGCCTATTTTGGGTCCGTGCTCTAAGCGAAAATGTTGCATCACAGCTTGCGCCCACCTATGCTTGCCGCTCTCCCGCGCTATAGATTTGTGGAGTACGTATCAACAAGTCTAATGGCTGCGATGTATAATTTTGTGGGTTTATTTCCGGAATGAATAATCCTAATTTGAAGCTGTTATCCGAAGGTTTCGCACCGTCGGTACGGGTACTTGCCGTCTTCAAAGGAGGCTACCGGTTCCAAGGCTATCTAAACACAAATGGAACTGATAAAGATGCAGAACGCTTCTGTGAGAGGTAATTTTGGATGATCGCCATGGAGTTCTACGCGAAGAAGAACGTTGCCGATATCGAAGGACAACAATTCGGATTCCGATGGCGAGTTTACTCTGGTGTTATTGCATCATTTTGCAGCTGAATGACAGAGTTCGAGAAAAATTTGCTGGAAGAGTCGAACCCGAGTGTCGAAGACTTGGGCATGCGACTGGGAAGACAGTGAGAATAAGTTGTCAAGATTGTAAGGATCAATTCACCGGTGGCGGGGATATTGCCTTGGTCATGCATCGGCGATGCTTCTTCTTTACGATGATTGGTAATCCTCCGAGGCTGGCTCCACGAGCCGGTTCGTTTACGGTTTGCTCCAACTTCGCTTCAGAAGGACATAATTTCGGGAGCGCAACAGCAAGATAGGTGGTCCGCAGCCAAACCTAAAGAGGGGAGATTCTCCGTCCTGTAGAGTGAATCGTAGGTTTTGCAATTTTATTATTTGGGGAATGGAAGTGCTCAGCAATATTTATATGCGTCATAAAAATGCGACCTCCTAGATGGCGGTTGGACGGTGGCCTCAATTTATCGATTTTGAGATATCAATAATTCGGCTTTGAGAGTTACCGGTTACCCCCAAAGGCTGTGCGACATGCAAGTTTGAGATACGTACATGAAAATTTGACTCTCTGGAAGTTGAAAGGGTAGGAATATAATCTCCGTTGCTCTTGGACTCTTAGTAAGGAAATGTCAACGCAAACCGCCACAGGTAACGACATTGTACCTTCCGGCGATGTGAATGTGCCAGTGCGCTGATAAAAACGACGGACCGCCGGACAACCACATGAAAGAGAATCCATTTCTTTAGTGTGACAGGTGGATTGATTGAGGTGGTGCCCAGGTCAACAGTTGGATGTGTAGTTTTCCAAGGCTCCGTGCGTGGTTGTAGCACTAAGCAATTGCTCGGAGAGAAGGATCGGGCCGGGAATGCGGTCACATGACAAGACGCGTTCCAAATTTACGGCAATCAACATTCCCACGATCGACACCCTCTCAACGACGACGACGACGATCCTTCCCTTCTTCCTCTGCGACGACCACCATCATGTCCGTGTCGAGCACGCCGTCGTCAAAGCTGGCTCGGCGAGCACCGTTCACGCCTAGCAAGAGGCCTCTGTCGACATCCTCCCTATCTTCCATCTCGTCGTCGTCGAGCAACAGCAACGACCTCATCAACCGCCTCAACCGTTCTGGCTCGGGATCCTCTGGTACCAGCAACATCCTGGGCTCGACACACAAGCGATACAAGGCGCCTG